TTTTTTTTTCCCATTATGTTGTTGTTGTTGTGTGCCATTGAATTGTAACCAATCCATAGCTGACCATCCGGTGGGCTTTCAGAGGCAGTTAATTACATGGGAGATTGCCCATCGTGCTTCTATGAAGCAGCTGGTAGATTCAAACTGTTTCCCTTTGGGATTGCAGTACAGCTTCTTGCCACTAGGCCACCAGTCGAGACAAATGAAAAAAGATTTTGCAACAAGATTTCCACCTGGTTTTGTTGGTTTGCTTATGTAAAATGTTTTTATTGGTTTGCATACAATAACTCATTTCAACTGTGTTTCTTTCATATATATTGTATTTTATACAATCTTTCATTTACATTGTGTTTCATTAAATCATTTACACTATATATTATACAACCAGTCGGTCACTAATGATCACCTGTTTTAATTTCTTCTAAAATATTTTATTCCAATACTATCATAAAATATTTATAAACCCTATACAAAGTTACTCTATTAAATGGAGTGGAAAATGTCATTTTTATGCTATTTTAAATTACATAATGGTTATACACTGTTCTGAAGGGAGCTCTGGAGACATAGTCTATAGAGAATTGTGCTGCTAATTGGATGGCAAAGCCTCTCTGACAGTTCGATCCACTTGCTGCCGTGAGGGGAAAAGACGGGCCACTTCCTTCCATGAGATTTAGAGCCCCAGAACGCCAACGAAGGATTAGCTATGAGTAGGTTCCAACATTACAGCAGTGAATTTGAGTTGAGTTTTTTAAGTGGAATGAATTTAACTTCATGCTTTTTGTTTTTTCCCATTTATTTATACTGAGCAGAAATTTACCTCAAAACGGACTGTGGCACTGGTTTTTCCATGTGAGAATGAAAGTTTTAAAAACTTGTTAATTAAATTGAGGTATTTTTGTGTTATTGTTAGTGGTGTTAATTGCAGTTACTTTGTGAGTTTATGTAGAATGGAACAGAACACTGGTTTTGTGTCAACAACCTCAAGATCGTTGGTTCCCATGCAATTACAATCTCTGTAAACGCAGGATCAATTATGAGTCAACTCTGATTTGACAGCAAATAACACCACCATTTTCAACAATAAAATGATTCAAATTTACAGGAATAAAAGATCGTTGATATGCTTGATTCCACTGTCATAGCTATTGTGCTAATCCACCTAATAGAGCATATCCCCTTTTTTATTAATTTTTACGAACATTTACAGAGATTTTGGATTTCCATTCATTCATTGTTGCACTTTTCTCCCCACCCACTCCACCCCCACCCCCGTTCACTCTTCTCCTTGAAAAGCAAAAGAAAAATTCCTTCATTGGTATCCCCGCCCCTCACCCCGAGTATACTCCACTCAGCAACCTTCATTCTGGACCCTTATGATAATCATAATGTCCTAAAATATAATGCTTTTAAACTGTTCCCTCCCTCATTGGTTTCAATGCAGTATACATAATTCATTAAGTTTTTCTCCTTCTTACCCCAACCCTGATGTCAGTCCCATTCTACAGCAGTGGCACTAAGAGCATATGCTTTTATTTCACCAGTATAATAACCTTTTCCAGCAATTGCTCTTTCTGACAGTATACCCTGGGGAAATGAGCCAAAGTTTCACCATCTTTGCTTCCAGAATATTTTCATGTAGGATTTAAGTTAAGACTGGTTTCTTTGTTCTTTTAGTAGTCCGAATTATATTGAATATTCGTCACCAGTGCTAGTTTGAATACATAATTTCTCCTGTCTTCGTGTCTTTCAAACAGAAAAGACTAAAGAAAGTCACAGCTATGGTATTACCAGCCTTTCCTCTGTAAATATATTTTTTTTAAAAATACATGCCTATCTTTGATCTGAGCAATAATTTGTTATCTTATTTTGTTTTCTAATAGTCACATATGACACCAGAATATAATGCTAGGCAAGTAGAAGACACTGAATAATTGATGAGTTTCATTTAGTTCTAATAATACAAATTGACATATTGTTTAGAGGACTGTAGGCTGTATGTATAGTTGTGTGTGTGTTTGTGTGTGTGCATGTGCAGACACAGAAAAATGTGTTATTTGCATATTTGTATAAATGAGAAACATACAATTTTTAAAGCATTAAGGCTTCTTTATCTAAAAGAAAACAGGCTTTTCAAATCTGTCTTCATCTCTGTTTCCTAATGAGGCTGGGAAGATTAACTACCTATCAAGTACATAGAGCCCCACATCTCTAGTGTGTCATCATTTCTGATGATTTGTAATAATGTACAGTGGAGTAAGGTAGTTGAGGTTCTCCCACAAAATATTGGAATTGTTTTTCATTTTAATACACTTCCTTTATTTAAAAAAATCATAAAATGTTCCTTAGAATGACAGTTGAGTCTCAATATTTATGACTCTCTGATTGCTCTAGCAGTTATTTATAAAAACGAGTGCACAAGTAAAATGTAAGCGGAAAAGATTAAAATTCAGAATTATAAACTTTTTTCATTTATATGGATACTCAGTTCTTGCCTGGAAGTTTTATGTGTCAATCTTAGTTTTCATGTGTTTGACGATCCTTGAAAAAGTACGTAATTTCTTCTTTGAAAATATATGAACAGTTTAAGTTTTTTAAAACACTAGCCTTTGAAACAGCATATTCTACACTCCTACCATCTTCCCCTGCACCATTTTATGTCCTGCTCTTGACTAAATACCAGGCACACACACCATCCATCTAAGAAATGAATGATTCCGTTTGGGGCACATGCTGGGGAGCATATGACTAAATGAAAGAAGATAAATGACAAAAAATCATTATCTTTGGGATATTTAAATTGAGTATGATTTATTCTATTTAAATGACTGATTAGTGATATGTGCTCAAAATTGTTCAATCATTTTTGAAGATTTTTTTGTTTTCTTGAATAAGTTTTCAGATTCATACGCCTTAAGCCTAAATTATGTATTAAGTGCAGTAAGACTAAGTTACGCTAAATTCCTTTACCTCAAATGCAGCTCTTGAATTACTTTATGATTTTTGTGATTGGTCTTTTCTTGAAATAGTGTATTTATTATCTATCTATCTATCTATAATGCAGCTCTTGAATTACTTTATGATTTTTGTGATTGGTCTTTTCTTGAAATAGTGTATTTATTATCTATCTATCTATCTATCTATCATCTATTATCTATCTATTGATCTATCTATTATAAATTAATATATTATGCTGCCTCTAATTTGTATTTAGTGAAGAGGCATAAGAGGAATAATTTTACTTTCCTTTTATGGTGAAGTTAATGTAAGCTCATTACTAGAAACTCTTACTGCTGTAATAGAGGTTATGCACGTAGCTATGGCTTAGTTTGTAGCAAGTTGCATTGCCAACTCAAAGGGTGCACATCTCAGGCAGTTTAAATTCACCAGCAGTCCTAAGAAAGAAAAATGGAGATCTGACGGAGGGTCCCTATGAGTTGGAAGTGATATGATTGCAGAGAGATTGAATTTTACAGAAAAATCAACATTGTTAATCAATATATTGAGAAAGGAGTAAGGAAGATGTTCCTCCTGCTCCCTCCACAGAAAATACTTAAATTTTGGTATAAAACCCAAGGTTCACAGCATTTTCTTAATTTATATTTTCCTGATTTGTAACTGCTTTCAAGAATTATTTATTGAGTGCTACCATATAGGTCCGTAGTTGCTGTGATTCTGAACACTGTGACACTGATGTGTTAAATGTGAGAATGGTTACCCATGGTGGACAGTGTTTGGTGGAGCTCCCCGATTCAAACAAGCTTGGAAGCAGGAGTGGCATCCACTTCCAAAAGAGCTTGTGTTTGGAATCCGTGTGAACCTGGAGAAACTATGAAAGTTATACAAATATTTTGGTCTATCGTTTATAGGGTCTCTATGAGTCATCTATGACTCAACGGCACTTAACAACAGAACCAGACATAGTTTCAGGTGTAGGGCATAGAGCAGCAAATAACACAGAGAAAAGACTTATGAGATTTATATTTGTTTGAGTCCTGAGAAACAAGATTTTTAAAATACTTGTTATGTGAGATTATTGAGTTTTATAAAAAAAGTACTTGAACAGTTACATATGTTACAGCTTTTCTGTTAAAACAAAAAAAACCAAAATGAATAATTCAGGATTAAAATCCTTGGAGCAGTATTGTGCAAAAGACTGTAGTTTTTTTAAAAAAAATCCTTTTTATTGATTTGACTTCTGAGTAGAAGCAAGTACATATTATCTTGAATTAAACTGACCCAACTAGGAAGAAAGTAACATAGAAACTTTAAAGGAACTATCAAGATTGCCTGTGGAGAATATTGTAAGCATGTTCTCAGCAACTATTAAATGATTTCCAAACATACAAGGCAAATAGTGAAATGCAAAGAAGAAATACCTCATTGCAGCTGGTCCAAGAGGAAGGTTTTATTCAAAACAATATAAAAAACAAACTAATAGTCAATTTTAGAAATTTAAGGAAAAATTAAGACTTTATGCATTGCTAGCCCTACTCACAGAAGTGAAAGTTCAGTCATCTATTTCCCATTGGCCCATCCATTTCCTATTTACCTCTTTCTCCATCTGACTTGTATGGATCTGGTTACAATTCATGTAGCAATAAAGAATGGTATGTCTGTTCAGAAGGCCTCTCACTTTGCTGGTTTCCCCCCACGCCCCCATTTATATAAATGTGATCACTAATTTATTCATTTGAAAAATGAAGGACACCAAGCTCAGACAATAGTGGTGAGTATTGAATATGATGTAAGTAAAGATATGCTGAAAAACTAAGAAATAGCATCATAATTAATGCTTCTTTAAGGAATGGAAATAAAACCCCTGAGATACTCAAGGTCTTTATATATACAATAACTTATCAAATGCTACAGCAGGTGGCAGAGTTCTTATTTTGGTCAAATGTCCAATTACGCCTCAAATCATAATATGTGTGAGGGTGACTGTTCTGTCTGTGGAGAGTTCTAGCAAACCCACCCTTTTCTGATGCCCAGTTACTCACTCTTGCCAGGCTGGTCCCAGATGGAACTTTATAGGGGACATATTTTCTGTAGATGTGACCAACTCTAGAGCATGGAACATCAAACATTTCTCCTCCACACATCCAAACCTAAGGAAAGAAAATTTGGAAAAAAAAAACAACAACAAAAGAGAACTGTGAATTTGTGGATAGAAAAATTATTAGCAAAGTTTTTAAAAGATATTAAAATGTGATACATTTTCAAACCAATATTTTTTTAATAAATGGCTAACCCAAGAAGAAAACCATGATTTATTCTAGGTTTTTAAAAGCGTATATCAAAACTCAAGTTCAGTAACATTTTTTTTTTTACTTTATTATTTTGTGTGTGTGTATAGTCAAATCAGATCTGACAGGTACAGGAGTATATTGCCCCTCCTTCTCCAGCAGAGCATCTGGTAGATTTGAACAGTATACCTCTGGGATTGCAGTGCAGCTTCTTGCCACCAGGCCACCAGAGCTCCCTTTAAAACTCAAGTTCAGTAACATTTTAAAATCAAGTTGGCATTTGCCTTTTCATTTTACTCTTGTAGTCAAGTGGTAAGAAGCTGCACTGTGAACCTGAAGGTGTGAAGTTCATATTCACCAGATGCTCTGAGAGGAAAAAGATGAGTAGTCTCCTCTAGTGTGATTTACAGCGTTTGACTACCAGCATGGGGGTCCACTCTGAGTTGGTCCTGACTCCACAGTACATAACAATAACAACAAAATAATTCTATGACAAATACTACATTGGGTCATTATTTAATTTTCATATATCTTTTTTTACATAGTGCTTCAAGTCCTTTTCAGTTTCAGCAAGCAAAGTTGTGTAATCTGCATAACTTAGGTTGTTGATGACTCTTCCTCCAATCCTGATGCCACATTCTTCCTCATAAAACCCAGCTTCCTGAATTATCTGTTCTGCATATAGATTGAAAACCATGGAGACAGGATGCCCTTTTATCATGATTTTTCACTTAGACTTTATCCTGGATTGTATAATGGACTTTACCCCATAAAAGAAGGAACAATCAATACATAAATTCAATCTTTATATTTGCTAGATAGTTAACTACTTTAATTTTCAGAAAAATAATGAAGAGTGTTAGATATACATCTTGTTCTAAAATACAGTCAGACCTCAGTATACACAGAAAATTGAATCCAGGTCCTCACAGATATGAAAATCGAAGGACTCTTGTTATTTAAAATGCGTAGTATTTACATATCATCTATGCATGTTCTCCTGTAAACTAGTTATTAAAATCTGTGCTGTCAAGTCAAAGGCACATGTTTCAAATGTACTTGCTGCTTCATAAGAAAGATGGACAATTTCCTCCAGTACAATTCACTGCCTCTGAAACCCAACTGGAGGGTCAGCTGTGACTTGGTTCTCATTCGAGGGTGCTCAACATAAACAAGATTATTTATAATATGTAGTACAATATAAGTAGCATTTTTTGCTTCCTTTTAGCCTCTGAGGGATGGCTATGAACACTTAATTTCTTCCATCTCCCAATACTTGTTATTCAAGGTTGGTTTAATCCAACCAAGGTTGGTTGGATGCAGAATCCACAGATACAAAAAGCCTATTACAAAATACCAAAATAGAGAATGAGAAATTTTTTACTTAGCTTACACTTACCTCCCTATTGATTTTTTTTTTAAAATCATTTTAGTTTTTGTATAGCAGAACACACATAATTTTAACAGGTTTCTACATATGCAATACAAAGACACTGTCTATCAACATTCTTTGAACTGTACAACCTTATACCCTTTCTTTTTTGAGTTGTTCCTCTAACAGTAACATAAACCAGGAGGGCAGTTGCCTCTCAGTTTCTTATCTTTCCAGTTGTTAATGTCCATTTAATCCCCAAACACTGGATTTTAAAAGACCATGATGCTCAAGTGCTCAAGGTGATCAAGTAAACATACTCTTTACTAATTAATTTAAACTACTGTTCTCACCTCTGAGCCAACAGGCAACATCATGGTAGATAGGGGGCGGATAGTAAATTGTCACCAATTTCATCTTACTTCTATCCACAATTCAGCACCCTTGGTATCAGCAGTCAGGAAATCAAAAGACATTGCACTGGGGAAATCTGTTCTACAAGACCTCTCCAAAGTGCTGAAGAGCAACGATTTCAGTTTAAAGACTAAAGTGTACCTGTGCCAACCCATGGCATTTTTAATTACTTGCTATGCATCTGAAAGTTGGGCACCGATTAAGGATGCGAGATTAAGAATGGATGCCTTTGGATCGTGGTGTGGAGAATAGTGTGGGCTGCTGGAAAACACACAAGTATGCCTTGAAAGGAACACAACCAGGTTGCTCCTTAGAAGCAAGGATAATGAAACTGAGTCTTATATGCCTTGGGTATGCTGATAGGAGGGCCTAGTATTACTGGGGAAGGTGGAGGGTCAGTGATGGAGATGAAGATCTTCAGCACAATGGATTGACACAGTGACTATAACATTGGACATAAGTATATTGGAAATGATGAGGATAGCATGGGGTAGGGCAGGGCTCAGTTCATTTATTTTCATGGAACTCTGTGAGATGTTGTTGACATGCTGGCTTGTAAAAGAACTGTTCAGTTTTAAGAAGACTTATTAAGAAGGAGATTTTTAAAAAAAAATTAAGTCTTTACTATTATCCCAGTTTTGTGAGTGCTTTAATTTTATTTTACCAAGAAAAATGATATTCCAAGTGAAACTGGTTGAACAAACACCAATGAAGGATGTAGGAACCCCTAGGGAAGGCAATGCAATTCTTTACAAACATTCAATTTCTTTAAGTGAATTCAGGTACTGTTACTCATGGTACCAATTTCAACCTAATGGGATGCTTAGCAAGACATCAGAGATACATGTAGATGATATGAAGTTTGTAGAAGCAATAAACATCCTAAATACAGTGTTAACATCTCAATATATCCGAAGGGGCTAGAGACGTGTAAGATTAAGCATAAAAATCCCAAAAGTAAGGAACTGTTCTAGAATAAAAAAACCCAAACAAATATAAAAAGTAACTCTTTTAGAACAAAATGGTATGAAGAAAGATTGAGTAACACCAATAAAAAAGAAACCAACAAAGCCCTCAAATGCATTGTTTTCAAGTCAAAACCAACCCAAAGCTGACCTTCCATTGTTTGTTGTTGTTATGTGCCGATTAGTCTCCTGCAACTCACAGTGACCCTATGTACAACAGCCCTAAACCCTGATCTTATCCCTTGCAAATCTTGTTGTCTCTGACACACCTATCCCCATTATCACAGTGAAGGAATCAATCCATCTCTTTGAGAGTCTGGAAATCTCAAAGAAAACTGATGTGTTCAAACTGTCTTTGACTTAGCTTTGGATAAAGAATAGAATTAACAGATGATTCTAATAACAAATGCTCACTTTTTTATATACAACTAACACTGTAAGTGTATATTAAGTATTCATAAAGGGTTCATTAGGGTTTATTGACTAGACAAAGGTATTTGACTGTATGAATCACCCAAGTTATGGCTAACATTGAGAAGAAATAGAAATCCCAGAGCACTTAATTGTCTTCATGTGAAACCTATACTTAGGCCAAGAGGTTGCTGTGTGAACAAAGCAAGGGAGAACTACATGTTTTAAAATTAAGAAGAGAATGGGTCATTGTTGTATTCTCTCTTCATACGTATTCAAAATATGCTGAGCCAATTATTAGATACACACACTCTGGGAAGAAGAATGTGGCATCAAGATTGAAGACTAATCAATATTTGCATCATGCAGATGACACAACCTGCTTGCTGAAACTGAGGAGGATTTGAAGCATTTGTTGCACAAGATCAAAGAATACAGCCTTCAATACAGATTGCATCTCAACGTCAAGAAAAAAAAATTATCACTGAACCTATAGGCAACATCATGATAGATGGAGAAAAGATTGATATTGTCAACAACTTCCTCTTACTTGAATCAACACCTTTTGTACCAGCAGTCAGGCAATCAGATGTATTGCACTAGGAAAGTCTGTAGTCAGGAACCTCTTCAAATTATTGAGGAGTAATGATGTCAGTTTGGTGATTAAGGTGAGTTTGATTCAGGTCTTTGGTCTTTCTGATCACTTGCTATGGATTTAAGAGAGTAACAGAAAAAGAATTGATGCCTTTGAGCTGTAGAGTTTCAGAAGACTACCAAACATCCCCATTGACTTCCAAAAGAACAAACAAATATGTCTTGGAGGTAGTGCAGCCAGAGTGCTCCTTGGAGGTAAAGATGATGAAGCTTTACCTTATATATTTTGAGCATGTTGCTAGGAGGGCCTTGTGGAGAGACATGATGCTCAGAAAGGTGGAGGATTAGAAAAAGAGAGGAAGACCCTCACCCAGGTGGATTGACACAGTAACTGCTGCAAAGGGCTCTTGTGTTTCAGGAAGTGTGAGGATGGCACAGGACAGGACAGGGTTCAGCTCTATTGTTTATAGGATTGCTATGGGTCACACCTGGCTCGATGGCACTTAATAACTACATAAAAATATACATTGTGCATGGATTATTTTATTAAATACTCATAAACCAATGACAGAAACTGTACAGGTAGAGAAAGGAATGACTGTGTAGAGTGGAGAGGTAACTTGTCTAAGTACATATAAATGGGAAGAACTGAAATTTGAATCCTATTAGGAATTGCTAGTGCTTTACATGTAGCACTACTGGCCAAAAGGTTGGTGGTTTGAGACCATCAGTCACTCCATAGGAGAAAGATGATCGGTCTCCTTCAATAGAGGCAGATAGCCTTGGAAACTGATGGAGGGTCACCATGAGTTGACATTGATTTGTTGGCAGTGAGTTTGTTTTTTGACTTGTTTTGTCAAGAGTCATTGGATGGTTGTTGTTATATACCATAGACTGCACTACAACTCATAATAAACCTGTGAACAACAGATTTGAACTTTGCCCAATCCTGCACTATCCTCACAAATTCCAACATTTTTGAGCCCATTTTATTGTCACTATGTTAATTCCTCTGTTGAGTTTCTTCCCCTTATTCTCTGATCTTACACCTTTTCCAGCAGGTTGTCCTTTTACTAGGCTGGCCTCTCTTGCCAATGTGCCCAACA